CCATACTGTCAATGGAACATCGTATGCGGATCACGATTAAAATAAAAAGGAAAGAAAATATAAATTTTCCGAATCCGTGCTAATAAGCATTTCGAAGTCGACATCTCGACTAGCTAATTTGCATAAATGACACCAAAATTAATTTAAAGAATATAAAATACATAAAAAAAAATGTTGCGTCTTCCGTACTGCCTGCGGACAAGATTCTTTTATCCAACAAGATATTTGACGTCATTATTATTATTATTATTATTATTTTTTGCCTTTCTTTGCCGCCAAGTAAAACCTTTCCTTGAACATTATTTATTTAATGATTTATTTAATTTGAAGCCAATTTTTTTTAATTTCTCGAGACGGAGTATGAATTAAATTTACAAAAATCAAAAAAAGGTTCAAGGAATTGTGAATCGGGGGAAAGAAAATTTGATTTGTAATTTTCACATATTCAGAGTTGTTTCCCTAAAGTCGAACGCAAAACAAGCACCCCAGGAATAAAATTCGTTAAAAGATTAATTAAAAAATATAATTATTCTCCAGGAAACACAGAACCTCGAGATGATTTTAAAGATTGATTACGAAAAAAATTAATGCAATGTTATCATTGTTAAAACAAAAAAAAATATTCGACCGAATCTCTTATATGTAAAATTCTCTTGTTTATTCTCGACAAATTCAATGTTAATTTCTTCAACTTCAGGCTCAACAGTTTCTTTCCAGGTACGAGGGTGAGGCTGAAAAGTTCATAGGCTGACGATGAAGGAATAATACTAAGTCTGTGAAATCTTGCATGCATTAATTTCAACTCCTCTTACTAATAACATCTTTTCTTTCCAAGAATGAAGGTGGGGCTGAAACGTTCATAGGCTGACGATGAAGGAATAATACTAAGTCTGTGAAATCTTGCCTGCATTAATTTCAACTCCTCTTACTAATAACATCTTTTCTTTCCAAGAATGAAGGTGGGGCTGAAACGTTCATAGGCTGACGATGAAGGAATAATACTAAGTCTGTGAAATCTTGCATGCATTAATTTCAGCTTCTTACTAATAACATCTTTTCTTTCCAAGAATGAAGGTGGGGCTGAAACGTTCATAGGCTGACGATGAAGGAATAATACTAAGTCTGTGAAATCTTGCATGCATTAATTTCAACTCCTCTTACTAATAACATCTTTTCTTTCCAAGAATGAAGGTGGGGCTGAAACGTTCATATGCTGACGATGGAGGAATAATACTAAGGCTGTGAAATCTTGCATGCATTAATTGAAACAACAGAGGGGAAGCTCCTCTTATTAATAACATCTTTTCTTTCCAAGAATGGAGGTGGGGCTGAAAAGTTCATAGGCTGACGATGGAGGAATAATACTAAGGCTGTGAAATCTTGCATGCATTAATTTCAACTCTTCTTATTAAGAACTACATCTTTTCTTTCCAAGAATGAAGGTGGGGCTGAAACGTTCATAGGCTGACGATGAAGGAATAATACTAAGGCTGTGAAATCTTGCATGCATTAATTTCAACTCCTCTTACTAATAACATCTTTTCTTTCCAAGAATGAAGGTGGGGCTGAAACGTTCATAGGCTGACGATGAAGGAATAATACTAAGTCTGTGAAATCTTGCCTGCATTAATTTCAGCTCCTCTTACTAATAACATCTTTTCTTTCCAAGAATGAAGGTTTAATTGAAACGTTCATAGGCTGACGATGAAGGAATAATTAAGTCTGAAATCTATATGCATTAATTTCAACTCCTCTTTAATAACATCTTTTCTTTCCAAGAATGAAATTTATTAGGGCTGAAACGTTCATTGACGATGAAGGAAAACTAAGTCTGTGAAATCTTGCCTGCATTAATTTCAACTCCTCTTACTAATAACATCTTTTCTTTCCAAGAATGAAGGTGGGGTTTTGAAACGTTCATAGGCTGACGATGAAGGAATAATACTAAGTCTGTGAAATCTTGCATGCATTAATTTCAGCTCCTCTTTACTAATAACATCTTTTCTTTCCAAGAATGAAGGTGGGGCTGAAACGTTCATAGGCTGACGATGAAGGAATAATACTAAGTCTGTGAAATCTTGCCTGCATTAATTTCAATATATATAATATATTTCTTTCCAAGAATGAATATATATATGAAACGTTCATATATGACAATGAAGGAATAATACTAAGGCTGTGAAATCTTGCATGCATTAATTTCAACTCCTCTTACTTATAACATCTTTTTCTTTCCAAGAAAAGGTGGGGCTGAAAAGTTCATAGGCTGACGATGAAGGAATAATACTAAGTCTGTGAAACTTGCCTGCATTAATGTTCCTCTTCAAATCTTTTCTTTCCAAAAAAGTGGGGCTGAAAATACAAGAATGAAGAATAATACTAAGTCTGTGAAATCAATGCATTCTTACTAATATTTTTTCTTTCAATGAAGGTCTCAATCGTTCATAGGCTGACGAATATACTAAGTCTGTGAAATCTTGCATGCATTAATTTCAACTCCTCTTACTAATAACATCTTTTCTTTCCAAGAATGAAGGTGGGGCTGAAACGTTCATAGGCTGACGATGAAGGAATAATACTAAGTCTTGAAATCTTGCCTGCATTAATTTCACTCCTCTTACTAAAAATCTTTTCTTTCCAAGAATGAATGGGGCTGAAACGTTCATAGGCTGACGATGAAGGAATAATACTAAGTCTGTGAAATCTGTGAAATTTTGCCTGCATAAATTTAAATATATATATATAATATCTTTTCTTTAAATAGAATATATATAAATATATTTGACGAACTAATAATTTTTTTTTTTATGTTCATAACGTTCATTCGATGAAGGAATAATTTTTTATGCATTAATTTCAAATATTTAATAAATTTTTTCTTTCCAAGAATGAATAATGGGGCTGAAACGTTCATCTGTTTAATATTTGTGAAATCTTGAGCATTAATTTCAAACAAATGACAACATTATTTTTTTCTTTCATTAATGAAGGTCATGAAACGTTCATTGACGATGAAGGAATAATTTTATGTTTCATTAATTTCATTCCTTTTATAATACAAATATTTAATAAGGTGGGGCTGAAACGTTTAGGCTGACGATGAAGGAATAATTTAAGTCTGTGAAATTTGCCTGCATTAATTTCAACTCCTCTTACTAAAACATCTTTTCTTTCAAGAATGAAGGTCCTCTGAAATTAATTATATGACGATGAAGGAATAATTTAACCGATTGACCTGCATTAATTTCGGACCCTTTCTAATATTATCAAGTTCGAATGAAGGTTGAAACGTTCATATTTGAAAACTCTGTGAAATCTTCCCGTATATTTCTCAGCTCCTCTTACTAATAACATCTTTACTTTTATGAATCTGCTGAAAATAGGCTGACGATATCTAAATGTAAACAAATGACGTCATGCATTATGACAATTATTTTAAGACATTTTATGTTTATCTATAAAAGAATGTATAAAAAAATGAATTCGTTCAAAATACGATGAAGGAATAATCCATTTCATAAAATATTGTTCAACATTATTTTTATATCATAACTAACAATTTTACAATAGCGATGTTAAAGTGATTTGATGAAATCTTTCAAGAATGAACAAAATTGACGATGAAGAACATTAAATTTTTTTGCATCATTTCAACTCCTCTGACTAATAACATTTTTCTTTTCCAAGAATGAAAGTTGAAACGTTCATTGCTGACGATGAAGGAATATACTAAGTCTTAGAAATTTATGCATTAATTTCAAATTAATAACATCTTTCAAGAATGAAGGGGTAATCTTTCAATTGACGATGAAGGTAAATACTAAGATGGAAATAAACGAAATCTTGAACTATAATTTTAAATATATAGGCTATTTATTAATTTATTTATTTAAAAGAATGAAGGTACACTGAAATTGTTAATTGAAATTGACGATTTAAAGTATTTTTATGCTATAATATGAAATTTGTAGTCTTATCTAATTATTTTCGAAAATCAGATCCTCACTATATAAGAATCTTAAATTCCAAGAAAAATAACTACTGAAATGTTGATTCAACAGGAAAAAATCGTGAATAATACTAACATGACTGATTCAAACAAAATTCTCTGATCTGGATCAGTAATTTAATAATTTAAACTCCTCTTACTAATAACATCTTTTCTTGCCAAAAATAAACAACTGTCAATAAACGTTCATATTTTGAAAATGAAGGAATAATTTATGTATGTTTCTTTTTGCATTAATTTCAACAGTCCTCTTTAATAACATCGAAATTTTCTTTCTTTTTATAGATAATGAAGGTAAATATCTGAAAAATTCTTTACTGACGATGAAGGAATAATAGATAAGTCTTGAAATCTTATTTTAGATTAATTTCAGATAGATACTATCAACATCTCTAAAGCGTATAAAGAATGAATATTGTTGAAACGTTCATTATCTGAAGAATGAAGGAATCCAATGATTTTGACAATAAAACAATTAATTACAATCCTCTTTAATAAATTAAATAAAATTAATAAATTAATTTTCATCAATGAATACAAAGGTTAAACTGTTAATTTCAAAATCCAGGGGAACGCATTTACAAGAATGACAATGAAATAATATATATATATATATATATATATATATATTTTCTTGCATTTTAAGTCTAAAATGGGACTTCCTTATTCATCTTTTCTTAAAGTGAATGTAATTTGGCTGAAACGTAATTTTCACAATGGTTGAAGAAATAATACTCTACCTGAATCTTCTCTCTCAATTCTCTCTATCTCTCTCTTTCTCTCATCTTTTCTCTTAAAAGAATGTTTATATTGGGGCTAAAGTTCATATTCTGACGATGGAGGATTTTAAGGCTGTGAAATAAAAATAACAATCTTTTCAACTCTTCTTATATAATAACTAAATTTATTTCCCCATAAGAATGATATGAAAAGACATAGGGTGACGATGAAGAAGATATTAAGGTCTGTGTGAGATATATATAATATAGACAGACAATCGAGACAAGAAATAGATAGATAGATAGATGAGATGATAGATAGCAAAGTTCATGAGATAGATATATAGACAGACAATCAGACAAGATAGATAGATAGATAGATAGATCAGTGTGAGATAGATATATAGACAGACAAACAGACAAGATAGATAGATAGATAGATAGATAGATAGATGCCGTCGTGACTCGCCGCTTATAAATCAAGCATTCATTTGTTCTGTAAATAAATAAAAGCCAATCTGCAATCGTCTTTGTTGTTTATTCATTCGCGCTCTTGGACGACAGCTTCCTCTTCAGAAAATAAATGGTGAGGAAAGAATCTCACTGTTAATTACGGTCAGACACGAATGGCCGGAATCCTCACTGCCCTTTAACCTCCCTCTGTAAGAAATCAATCCTTCAACGCCTTTCAAACAATATTATCCATGTAAAATTGTACCACTTCTATATGAAGATCGTGTCTTTGATTAACATTACAGCAAATCTCATATTAGTTTGTAGTCTCATTTATTCTTCTAAATCTGGTTTTTCTGTTCTTGGGGCGTCGAATAACGTTCGTGATTTGGTTCCATCAAAATGGATTGTATTAGGTGTAGGAAGTATTGATTTCTTTTTATCTTGTAAACATGGTTGTTCCATGTTACATTCTTTATTTCGCGAAAAAATTTCAAAATGATATAATTGCAAATTACTATGGGTAGTTTCAGAATTTTAAAAAATTGCTTATATATATATATATATATATATATATATATATATATAAATATAGGTTTGTTTATACGGAATAAATTATATATACAAACAATTACTATTATTAATAATATTTAATAATACAAAAGAGATCAGATATAATTATTTATTTAAAAATTATGTAAAAAAAATGACATCAGAAATAAAGAAATGGAAAAAGAGCCATTTTGTTACAACACCTAGATACAAATATCAAGTAAATGATGTTATAATTCTTAGTTTATATATATATATATATATATATATATATAATATTTTTTTTTAAAATATTCGTCCTTCGGAACCGTCATATAGTTCTCATGTTTTCAAAAAACGAGGTCGCAGAAACCATTCAAATAATTATTAAAATTAATTTGAATTGTATTTAGTCCGGTTCATCTTCAAACGAAGGAACCCCGGATTATGCACCCAACGTTTTCTTTTCTATTTTCTGCATACCTACGCACTTATACATACTATCTCCCAAAGCAAGGTCTATAGCACTCTGAACCTTTATCTTTAAAATAAGAACTTTAAAAATATGGAAAAAATAAATTTCGACATTTCTCTGAAGAACATTCCACACACAAACAAACAGAATTATTTCATCAAACTTTTGCAAAAAAAACAGAGGAATTAATAAGAAGAATGAGATGGAAAGCATTCTTCTTCCTACGAGGAATAACCTAACAAAAAAAGCATGAGGTTTACGGATTTAAAAGCAAGAAAGTAGCACCATACAACAAAAACCTACAGGAATTCAAAAAGGACCTACTAAATATAATCAACAATATTTCCTTTCAAAAAAAGAAAAACAACTTCCAGAAGCGTCTAGACCAAACAGTCAAAAGCATAAACGACAGCGATAAAATACTAGTTAAATCCGATAAAACGGGAAACTTTTACAAATTGACGGCTGACGACTACAACAAATTAATTAGAAAAAACTTAACGAAGACTTATAAAAAAGCCCAGAATAACAATATAAATATGGTTGACAGTATCAATAGAACTAGTAAAATGATTATTGAAAAATTAAAAATAAGTGATAGAGTTGGCAAACTGGCCGAAAAGGAGTGCTACATCACTCTTAAAGACCACAAACACGATTTTGAGGAAGACCCCACTACCAGAATGATAAACCCAACTAGACCCGACATATGAAAGATAAGCAAAAAAAACCCTAGAAAGGATCACTAGCCAAATTAAAAAACACCTCAGATTAACACTCTGGCTTAACACCAAAGAAGTCATAAACTGGTTTACCAACATTGACAATAAGCCCGATTGCACCCTAATTCAGTTCGATATTGTCGATTACTACCAGTCAATATCAAAAGACCTCTTCACGACTGCCCTGGAGTTTGCTACAGTATATTCTGACTTAACTAAGGAAGAAACAAACATAATTCTCAGTGCAAAGAAATCTGTCCTCATCCATAATGGGGACCAGTGGATTAAAAACACCAATGACAACTTTGACATCACCATGGGATCTCTAGACTCTGCAGAATCTTCGGACCTTGTCGGTGTATTTATACTGTACAATCTAACCGCCCACCGTGAACTAGACATTGGGGACATCGGGCTATACAGAGATGACGGGCTCATGGTAGTGAGGAGCTCCACAAATTTTAAAACAGAGAAAATTAGAAAGATAATTTATAAAGAATTCGGGAAACTAAATTTAAAAACAATAGTCAACACTAAATTAAAAAGAGTAAACTTCCTAGACGTAACCCTAGACTTAACGAACAACGTTCACCTACCTTACAGAAAACCTAATACTAATCCCCTGTATGTACACCCTAAGTCAAACCACCCTCCATCTATAATTAAGCATATACCCACATCAATAGAGAAAAGAATAAGTATGAACTCAGCAAATAAAGAAAATATTCCAACAACACAGTAGTTTTTTATAACACAGCCCTGAAAAAATAGCGGATACAAAAAAACGCTGACATAACCTATAGAAACGATAGTACCAATAATAAGAAAAACAGGAAAAGAAAGATCATCTGGTATACCCCCGCCCCGTTCAACCAAATGGTCAGCACCAAACTAGGCCATAAGTTCCTAGCTTTAATTGAAAAGCACTTTCCCACTAATAGCAAACTTAGCGACATCTTTTAAAAAAAACACCTTGAAATTGAGTTACAGCTGCACTGAAAATATAGAAAGAATCATAAAAAGACATAATAAGAAAATCCTAGAAAAACATGCAAACCAAAACAGTAATAAAACACATAAACTAAAATTAGATAAAAATAACGAAAAATTATGTGATTGTAGAAACCCTAAAAACTGCCCGTTGGAAAATAAATGCCTCACAAAATCTGTGGTATACCAATGCACTATCTCATCCATTGAGAGTCCTCTCAACGAAGAATAATTTTAAAATTAGATGGAAGTAACACAAGAAGTCCTTCAACAATATTCAAAATAGAAATCAGACATTTCTATCCCAATATTTCTGGCATCTAAAAGAAACGAATAAAACACCAAAAGTAAAATGGAAAATAGTAAATAAAACAAGAACTTGTAAAACCTGGGATGACCCATGCCCTTTATGCTTACAGGAAAAACTACACATCATTAAATTTCTAAATAATGAAAATTTATTAAACCATAGGCAGGAGTTAACGGTTTTTTGCAGACATCAACAAATTTTCGCATTAAATAATTAAAAAAAAAAAAAAAAATCCCATAGCTAAATAAAAATTCTTAAAAGCTTAGCCAAATCATTAAATAGGAAAAACCCTTTTAGTAGTCGTCAAAAAAAAAAAAAAAAACAAATTGAAATTCAGTGCAATACGATTTGTATATAAAACACCCACTTGAATAAACAAATAAATAAATAGATAATCAGATGGACAATAATAAAAGACAATTTCCAGACGCATAACGACTTGTAGGCGCGCCATAAAAATATCCCTCACTGGGAACCAACTAAAGGGTGACCGCAAACATTAGCCTTGAAATAGATACCCTACCCAACCTTAGCAAAACCTCTCAGAAGATGATGAATCTATTGATAAGAATTAACTCTCTGACCACTTAACGAAGGAAAATAGTCTAGCCACTCCCACAATAACGAATTTTGTAACGGACCATGCCTAAAAACACACGTAAACCGAGAGATAGCTTATTCCTAAAATTTCGCTTGAAGATGAAACGGGACTAAACACCACAATTCAACTTAATTTTAATAATTATTTGGATATTTCGGCTCTCGTTTTTGAAACATGAGAACTCTTATGTAGCGAAGGAATCATATTTTTAAAAAAATATTATTATAATATATATATATATATATATATATATATATGTATTATTTATGAAACATTAATCTACCAAAATTTTAAAGAATATGGATTATCATTTTATTTTAAAATTAGATAAGCAAAATTCTATACAAAAGATGATCATATATCCAAATATAAATAAAAATCGCGTGATGGGTTATATATATATGGATTATATAAATATGTCATATTTAAATAATCAACATCGATTTAATGTCTGGACAAAACTGCATTAATTTTGTTTGTTTAACCTCTTTTATATATATAGTTTATTTCTAATTATATTTGACTTAACTTTGGAAGAAAAGTTTTCGATAGTTCTTCAATTTGAAACTTTTTCATCCAATGATATACCAGTGGATTAAAAATATACCAATGTCATTTTAAATCATCATTTTTATTACTGAGGGATATTCTAAATTTTCTGGGATAATTTATTTCGAAACATAAACGAAAAATAAACATTCAATTTTCCTTATTTGCCTGTGTCTTTTGAAAAATTAAGTCTTTTTTTTATTTTATGATCAATGTTGCAAAATCTGTCAAAATTAATTTATTTTTTCTATTAATTTTCCTAAATTAATTGAGGAAAACTTTTTGGCCATTATAATTTATAGGTATTAATGAAACCACAATACTATATATTTATAAATGAATTGGGCAAAATTTAGCCGGCAAAATTCAGTTAAGGTGCCAAATGGTGTCACATTTTCAATAAAGAAAAAATGGTTTTGAAATTTTTAAAAAGTTCAATGATTGCAAACACAAGGAATTTTTAAATTGGTAAAACCCTTCTGATCTGCAATTATGTTGATAAAAGAAATTTAAATGTAAAGATTTAAAATACAGAAATTTTGAGAAAACAACAGGAACAGAAAAATAATGCTAATTCAAATGCCTCAATCAAAAATATATTTTGTTCAAGCAAACATTTAATTCAATTTATTTTATAATAGAAAACTTAGTGTGTCATTTTGCTAAAAATGATCTGGACCTTGATGTATTATCAACAATCAAATCAACGAGGGGCAATATAAAAACAATCTTTTTAAATTTTGAAAGAAAAAATAATTTATTATTTCATCAGCATAATCCCATTTTATGGAAAAATAAATCAAAAACTATATATAATTTTTTAAGACCTCTAAATGAAATTTATATTAAAATATATATATAATTATATGGATCATTAATTAAAAAAAATCCAATAATTATTTCCTAAAAATAATAATATTTTGCATAGCCTCAACATAAAACAATAATATAATTGAATGGAAAAGTACAGTTTGGCATATTCAACGATCTTCAAAAGAGAAAACATGTAATAATTCTTTATCCTAAACTGTGGTATCATTATAAAAAAGAAAGATTATAATAAACCTTTTTAAATGGAAAGTTTAAATAAAACGTTGTCTAAAACCAGGGATTCCTTAGCATTTATGCCTAATGATACACAGGACTTTCCATTTCTAAATAACAAAAATTATTAATAGAATCGATCCAACAGGAATTATATTTTCGGTTGGGCAGAATTTAACAAATTTTGCATCAATAGTTGAAATAAAAAAAATAAAAACCTATTCAAACAAGAAAAGTTCCCAA